AAAAAAAAAAAAAAAAAACAAACAAATTAGATAAAATTAATGTATCCACGCAATTTAATTGGAAAAGATTATTTTCAACATTTCTTAGAATAAAATTTAATATATATTGAAAGTATATTATATTATTGCTAAATAATTTATTAATGAGAATTATTATTCTCAAATAAAATACAAGAAAAATAGCTTTGAGCTAATAGTCAAAGAAAATAAAAAAACTTAACGAAAAATTGTTTATTTGAGATAAAAAAAAAAAAAAAAAGATAAATTATACAATATGGTAAATTAGAAAATCTAATGAACATAAAATTGCTTTTAAAAAAAAGAAAAACAATATACACTTATGTCAATTATTTATTTCATAAATGATCATTTAAATCGTTTGATCGATAAAAATGTATTTTATCTTAGTTAGAGAAAAAAAAAAAGAAACAGAAAAATTTCCCAAGATTTCTTAGGAAACTTATGTCAATCAGTTAATCCAGGAAATGTTAATGGACTATTGACATTTTGATCATTGACGTTTTATCCTTATTTACTTTTGTTAGGTATGACTTACGCAAAGAAACGAGAAAGGATTGTCGTTTAACCACGTAATATATGTTGACTTTTATCTAGAAAATATATAAAAAGAGAAATAAAGATAGAAAAATAAATATATAATAAAAAAAAAAAATAATATATAATAAAAATTACAAATATAATTATATAATATAATTCTAATAATTTAATATAATTAATATACGTAACATAATTATTATAAGTATATTATAATTATACGTAAATTAATTATTATATTATATAATTAATAATATAATAATTGTTAATAATATTATTAATATATATTTTATATTATTGTTTTATTTATTTTTTAATAATATTTATTATTATTATTATTGTATTTATATTTTATTATATTATACATATATGATTTTAATTAATATATAATCAAATAATATATAAATATAAAATATAATAAAATAGTATATAAATTATATATTATTATATATTTATACATTAAAATAATCTAAAATTTATTATAGAAAACCATATAAAATAATAATATAATATTATTATATATTTTACTATTAAATCTTATTATTTTTTTTGGCATACTAATAGAAATTTATTTTACGATATCATAAAAAGAAAAAAAAAAAGAAAAGAAAAAACCAAATTCGTTGTTTCTCTTTATTTATATTTTATTTTGTATTGGAGTATTTCCCCTTTGGGAAAATAGGAATGGAGTTAGTAGTAAGGTTTGCAGGTTAAATCGAGTAAACGGTGTCTTATTCGTGGAAAAGATCAACTCTCCTTCTCAAGGAGAAGAGATTACCGTTTTATAAAGAGACCATTTATCACCGACGCGTGTTGTGTTCACTCGTCCTACGAAATAAGTATTTCGCTAGGAGTTAGAAACGTTAGAAAATAGCAAACAACACGAGAGAGAGAAAAGAGAAAACTGTACAACTTAGTATAGTAAAAGATAGTATAGTATAGTTACCACACACAGCTTTCTCGTACGTCTCGAAGGTTGAACGTGGTGCAATGATGTCAAACGATTACGCACTTGGGGAACCCATTCCTGTATAATTCACAATTTCTATATCAAATTTATCTTTATTTCCCTCTCACCTTCATCCCTATATCCTCACGAGATAGATTGGTAATATTCCTTTTGTATAATTTATATCTCTCACGTGTATTTTTCTATTATCTTATTTCTTTTTTTGTTTTTCTTTTTTGTTTCTATCAATCGAAACGTAAAATTTATTTGATTCTATTGAAAGAATATATTTTATTCCTTTTTTTTTTTTTTTCAATAGGGTATTTTTTATTTTGGAATTATATATATATATATATATTTAAAATAATTTATATATATTATTAATTTTATTATTAATATAATTATTATAATTATTATATATATTATATATTTAATATGAATTATATTATAATATAACTATATAATATATAATATATAATATATATAATATAAATTATAATATAATTAGAAAATAATAATAATAAAAATAAATAATATATAATAATAAATATTATATATTGATTTTATATTATCAACAATTTATAATTATAAATATATATATATAAATTTGTACAAT